GATATCCTCTTACTGACTAGATACGTTGGTGTCCTCCATGACTCCTCTCTTCCTCTCAGATACCACATCCAATCTGAGCACCATCTAATGAATCTACCTTCAGTGATACATCCAGAATTGGACCACTAGTTACCACAGACTTTTGTACCCTACAACAACAACAACAAAAAAAAAAAACACCAAAAATCAAATAAACAAACAAACAAACAAAAAAACACTATCATCCTTCTGACTGGTCTCTTCCTTCCACCCTTGAGCCCCAGTGGTATGTTCCTCACAAAAAAAAGCCACAGTCATCAGTGAAAAATTAATCAACCATATCGTTCCTTAGCTCAAACCTCTGAAATGGCTCCCCTCTCACTCAGACACTGGTCTCCAGGCCTGAATGTCCTCTCCCCGGACTCATGTCACCTCCCTGACTTTATTCCCTGCTAGTCCCCTGCTTTCACTACCCATCAGGCACTCTAGCCCACATTCTGCTCCTTGAACACACTCCTGACACAGGGGTTTGGCTCATTTCCCTCTCAGGCTGTAGTAATTCTCTTCTCCCAGATACTATGATAGTTGTTCCCTAAGGTCCTTCACGTCATTGTTCAAATGTCACTTCCCTTGTGGAGTTTTCATGCCTGAGCCATTTGAAAACATAGTTACCTATACCCTGAACCATTTTCTTCTACCTCATGCCTCAGATTATTTTTCTCTCTCCAGTACTTACCACCATCTGACATATCAGCTGTATTTTTAGTTCCTATTTTCATATCATTTATCCCCTGGCAATAGGAATGTATGTTCCAAATAGACAGGGTCTCCACACCCCATTTTGTTTTGCCCTCATTGCCTAGTATAGAGGCGGTACGATACATTCTGAACAAGTTGATTAATTAATTTCCAACAGCAATGCTGTGAGAGGTTTGAGAAGGCATTATCATCAGTTTTATAGATAAAGAAATTGAGAGTCATGGTGATTTGCAATTTGTTCAAGAGTACAAGAAAGGTTAGTTAATTTACCATTTTCTAATTTTCAGATTAGAATCTAGGTCTCTTGACTTTTTCCACTGTACAATGATA